GAGCTTGTCGTGGGAAGTTGGTTTGTGCCATGATGAAAGCCATTCCCTGAAACAAACCCCATCCATCACTGCATCCCCAGAGCCCAAGACAGAGACAGAGCTCGCATCCTCTTCAGTCCTGCCGCTGCAGCTGCACACACAGACGCTAAAAGAAAGACACTTTCTCTTCAGTGCCAGTCTGTAGTGCTGAAATGCCATCGCTGTCCAAGTTTGCAGCACGCAGCTTCTGATGACTCAATTATGGGATAAATAAAAAGCTAGTAAAATAAAACATGGCTTCTTTAGAAATATAATGTCTTATATGAAATATACCTGAATGCATTTAAATTTGCTTTGGTTTAAAGTGCCTGTAAAATGCTACAATCTTAATGTAAGATAAACTATTGTAATAGTTAACTGTCATATGGAAATTTTAGATGATCATACAAAAACAAAAAGTGCAACAAGCACTTCTATATGTCCCACCCCATTAACGCAAGGAAAGAAAGGGGGCTCTGGGTCACTAATGCACGCTATACAACTGATTTGAAAGCTGTTCACGTCCTCAGCAGTAAGTCAAGTTTGTTCCCAGTGAGTGCTATATTCCACCAGGGCTGTCCCAGGATTGCCATATTTGTGATATTCATGAACGGGATCTTAAGGAAAAACTGATGGGCGGAGGGAATCCAGTTCAGGGGTGTTAGCATGACATCTCTGCTTTTTGTGGATGATGTTGTCCTGAAGGCTTCATCAGGCTGTGACCTTCAGTGATTACTTGGGTGGTTTGCGGCCGAGTGCAAAGCAGCAGGAATGAAGGTGAGCACCTCCAAATCTGAGGCCGTGGTTCTCAGCCAGAAAAGGGTAGATTGCTTCCCCATGTAGAGTAGTTCATGTACCTCGGGGTCTTGTCCACAAGTGAGGGTATGTTGGAGCATGAGATTGACAGGCGAATCGGTGCAGTGGCAGCAGTAATGCGGTCAGTGTACCGGGAAGTCATGGTGAAGAGAGCTAAGCCTGAAGGTGAAGCTGTCAATTTACCAGTCGATCTATGTTCCAACCCTCACCTATGGTCATGAGCTCTGGGTAATGACCAGGAGAACAAGATTGCTGGGTACAAGTGGCCAAAATGAGTTTTCTCTGCAGGATGTCTGAACTGAGTCTGAGAGACAAGGTGTGAAGCTCGGACATCCCGGAGAGATGTAGAATAAAGCCACTGCTCCTCCGTGTGGACAGGAGCCAGCTGAGGTGGTTCGGGCATCAGGTCAGGATGCCTCCCGGTTGCTTTCAGGTGGAGGTGTTGTGGGCATCTCCAACTGGGAAGAAACCACGGGGCAGACCTAGGGCATGCTGGAGGGATTACATCTCTTGACTAGTCTGGGAACGCCTTGGTATTCCCCAGGATGAGCTATGAACGGATGTGTGTCCTTACTTAGCCAACTGCCACCGCGACCCAGTCCCAGATGAGCGGCGGAAAATGGATAGATGGATATTATTATTATTGGAGGTTTTACAGCTTTGTTTAAGCTAGCGTTAAATCAATATTGTAGAGAAAGCAGCATGACTGATCCAGACATTTTAAGGTTACACAGGTCACGTTGAATTGAAGAATTTTCACTGCTCACCAAGGCTGTAAATACATACGACAACCTAAATTTAAAAATTTTTATTGTGCATTTAGCAATTAGGCTGAGATAAATATTCTTGCATTGCCTTTAGAAACGCATATAAATAAAGATCATAAAATTGCCAAATTGCCAAGCTACCAAGAAACCTTAATGAAACCAAACATATCTGGTGGTGCTTCTGTAACTGCACTTTATTGCCTCGGTGCGCAATGACAAATGCTAGCAGTTCTCTAAATAGCGCTGGTAATTATAGCCCAAAGTATCAACCCCAGATAAGACAAAAAGCTGAACGGCTGCCCCCTCCGCCCCAGGACAGATGAACATCGCTTTCACCGGTACGAGCAGAACACACACAAAAAAAACCCTCTGTCCTCTAAACTATAGGTGACTGAGATTCTTATTTCAAGTGCTAAGCGTCTCTGACATGATCCTCTAATGGAATTTTCAAGCACTGGGGCATTTTTGCCCCCCTCATTTCATTTGTTAAAGTCAGGCCTATAACTCACACAGGTTGTGCTTCGCAGAGCAAAGAGGATTTCTAATCTTTAAACAAAGAAAGTTAAAAAGCTAAAGAAAAGTGATACATACCTATGGTTTTTCTGCCTCTTCTCTCGCTGCTGTTAAATTTAACCTGTAGCTCAAGCATCGACGTGGCTGATGAAAACTAGAAGCAATCCTAAAGGGAGATTTCCGTCTAAATCCCATTTAAAATTCCCATAAGTACTGCGCTTCTGCATTTGTCATGTGCTCATGATTATTCCTTGAGAGCGCCTTTCCTCAAGACTGCTTGTTCAGGGAATTAAATCACTAACTTTACTGTCATAGTATCTTAAAACATGGCTGCCATCATCAGTCCAGTCCAATGAGGCCATATGATAACAACCTGACTTTTGCAATTACTTCCTTGGCAGTAGTTGATTTAGGGCACCTACACATGAGAGAACGCACATACATTGATTTCAATAGTGATTATGCATCACAAGGATATAAAATGGAAAATGCAATGCTTTTGTGAAAGTGAGAAATCGAATTCACTGTAATCCTGCTTGATTTCAAATTGACTGACTGCTGAAAGAGTTAAGTAGCATGCTAAAATAGCTACCAATGCTAAAAAAAAGAAAGAAAGGGTAACTAGAGTAATATGTAGATTTCCTTACAGTTAACCTGACAGCTTGGCATACTGCAAACTGTTAAATCTGATAGATTAACAAACAAATAGCTGATTACTGCTAAAATGCTAACCCAGATAGCACACGTACGTCCGCAAGATGTCTGTTAAAGATCACTTAATCTGGAAAGCATCTGCTGTGTACAAACATCTGATAGACTTTAAGATGTCAGTTTTACATTCATTCTAAATCATAAACATAAAGACATCTTCTAAACGTCTATCTGACATCTGATAGGAAACGTCCTACAGACATATTGCAGATGAGCAAACACTCTGAAAAATATGTCTTGCAGATGTCAAATAGACGTCTCCATGATGTCTATCAGGGACCAGTTACAACTGTTCACTACTGCAAGGTTTCCAGTTTGCTACTATGCACGTTTTTAAATGGTCAGCTATAATTGTTCAAAATGGACCTTTGGCATGCAGTTTTAGCAGTCAGCAGCTTTGCATACCACTAGCCAATATCCTGCTAGTTGATTAGCCTGCTATCCTACCTTACAGCTATAGCCTGACACCTTACTGCTAATTAAAAACTCTGCTAGATTATCATACCAGTAGTTGATTGGTTAAAATAGCTATAATGTTAAAAAAAAAAAAGAATAACAAGGTTATTTAGATTTTCTTTACAGCTAGTCTAACACAAGGCCATTCATTTATATATTTTTCTCTGCGGTATGAATTAAAATGACTGGAGGTCATTGAAAGAACAAGAATTCAGAACACACCAATAATTACTCTCGGTTAAATGTAAAAGAAAGTTATTAGCGTTTATGCCATCAAGGGATAGTTCACTCAAAAATAGTATATTATCCTAATTTACAGCATACTGCTAACTGACAAATATGTTATATTAGCATACAAAAAGCTAATCAGTCTGCTAAAATACTAATAATTATAATATCTGTTAGTCTAAACAATTTCCAGATTTGTACAATGGAAAGTACTAATAATTATATCTTACATATTATTTAACAAAAGCTAAAAAATAAATAAATGAATAAAAAATAGCCACAAAATTAACAGCATTCCATTTTAGCAGTTACTTTGTAAACTAAGCAGGTTAGTCGATTGGATGCCACTTGCCAATTATACTGCTAGTTTAACGCATAACTGATTAACCCTGAAGTCAGTCTAAGCTGCTTGCCTGGTCTGGTTTAGCAAACTGGTTTTAGATGGTTTTTGAACACTTCTTTAGCTGGTCAGGCTGGGAGACCAGATTAAACCAGCTATGTCTAGCTTAAACTAGCTAAAACCAGCCAACCAGCAACTAGAACTGCTTAGCCTTCTAAAATAAAATAAAGGATAACAAGACTATTTGTATTACTATACATTCAGCCTGACAGTTTAGCATACTACTGGTTAATAAGCATGCTAAGCAATAGCTAATTAAAACAGAGAGATGCTACAAAAGCTTAAGTGAAATTACTAATTTGATTACAACTAACCCGGCAGTTTATAGCATACTGCTAGTTGATAAACCTGATAGATTAACACAACAATAGCTGATTAGCGTGCTAAAAGCTATCACTGCTTCAAAAGGATAACTGGAATTACTCTTTTGATTTTCTAGAACTCAGTAATTTTTTTTTTGATTTCAATTTTTGAATGATTTCAAACACTTTTTCCACAGCTTCAAAATAAATCATATTCATTTATATGAATAATGCTCATCCTTTTTGGCTAATAACATTGTGTTCAAATGCAAGCAAATACCTTCATTTAAACAGATGTTGTTGTTTTTTTAAACACATGTATATAGTCGTATGTAATATTTTTTCATGCGGTAATTGTATGCTACTTGATTCAATCAGGAGAGCTATTTGCATGAGACATTTTCCAAACGAGTCGTGTGAATTAATACCGGATTGCGCAGTCCACTGGGGATCGAAATGAGTGTAATGACCCATGCAATTTCCATCTGATACATGGCATGTAAATTAGGATGTGACACCTTTTATGAGCGGCAAAATTTGCATTTCCCCATCATTCAAAACGCCAAGCTGTATGGCTGGTCAAATGTATAGCAAGGTAATTGTGTAACTACTTTGCAGTACGTTCACGACTAATTTCCTTAAAAATTGGCTTACTTTTAGTTATCTATATTGTGAGCCATTTCAATGAAATAATAAATTCAAGCATGCAAATTCAAGACTAATAATAATAATAATAAAATAATAATAATAATAATAAAAGTAATAAAAAATAACCAAATGGTTTTATTTCATGTTGGTACATTCTTAGACAACACCACATTATAGTTGCATGAGTGGCCAAACATAAAAGTCTTCCACAATATCAGCACATAAGCAGCAAGGGCAACATGAATATACTTAGTACAAACAGTATAAAACATACATGCTTTTTATTTTTTTTCATAGATTTTTTTTAAATATATATTCATATCTTTTGCACATTTCTCCATAAGTTCCAGGGCAGATAAAAATTCCAAGACAAATTAAAGCCATATTCTGCCTTGAGTGAGTGAATGTCTAAGAAATTCATGAAGGAAAAAAGAGAAAAATCAATAAAGGCTTGTAAAATCATCTGTAAACAGGCCATTGTGAGGGAACTGTGGTGAAAGTTTCATTTACTTCAACATCAAACATATCAAGCATGCATTGACAACTGCTACGCAAACACTTTCTTTAAAAAAGAACTCTGAAACACCATCGTCACCGGCGTTTAGTCACTGTAAAACCAATGCAACATCTCTCAAAGTCACTAAAAACACAGTCGATGGTCTACAAACCCTTACAAACATGGTGGGAATGTCGAAAAATGTGACACATTTATCATGTTAAAGGGCGAAAACCAGCGGAAATCCTCAAAATAAAGAAACAATATTCCAGGAATGAGATCTCAAAGAAAAGAATATGGCTTTAATACAATGTGCATCCAGAAAAGGCAAGGAAAACCAAAGAAGAAACGTTCAACTGAAACGTAAAAATAGCAGAAGGAAACCGAAATGCTGAAAGAACCACACAAATTCGCACAGAAAATCCCCAAAACTTGCAGTTTGGAAGTACATGTAAAGATGAGGAGGACCTCGAGGCCCAGCATTCCAAAGCCATGTTGATTCATCAGCACCCTGAAGAAAGTCTGCGATGGAGAATCAGAAGAAACGCCTTGTCGAAGGTCCATCACGCCAAGTGCAACCTCAATCGTTTGACTGGCGATCAGTCGTGTTGTGCCACTGTTACACCCCATCAGTTCCCTCCGTCAGAAAAAACTAAACAAACAACAACTACATTTATTTCCTCCAGTTGTAATTCCTGTTACTGTTACTTTTTTTGTAGATGTCAGGGTATTTCTTTTTTTTTTTTTTTTTGGGGTGGTTTTGCTGTTTTATGTTTCTTAAAGGTGTCGAAAATCAACTGATATCCTCTGTCGTTGGTTTAGCTGAGGGCCCAATCACTGTCCTGGCCCCCAGACGAAATAAGGATGGAAACAGAGGGACACTGAAAGCTTTTTCCCGCTTTACTTTTGTTCCAAAGAGCCAAGAGAAACCAGGAAGTGCCATCGATCACCTTCCTCCTGTGATGGAGGCCCTCAGATCACAAGGTCATTGTAGCTTACGTATTTCTTAGCAGCCGGACCTGCAAGGAGAGAAAGATAAAAGATAGCTTTTCATTTGAAATTTCTTCCTTTTTTTCTTGCTGAAAATGAGCGGAATTCATTGATTCCTCTCAGGAGGCCTGATGGGGACACTTTTTAGGACATGAAGTTTGTTGGTATGGAACAGAGAACGTCCACAATCAGATGATTAAAGCCATTAAAATGCCACAGATTTCATTTCATTACCAAATGTACTCTTTATTCAATAAATAAATAAATAAATAAATACATAAATGTGTTTTTTGATACTGAAATAATACAGTTATATATTATCATTTTGATCACCATTGTTACTAAGTAATTAATTACTGTAATTTAATTACTTTTCCATTGAAAAAGTAAGGGATTACTCTTACATTTAATTACAGTTACTTCTGATGTAAATGCATTCAATACTATATAGACTATAGAATAATTCTGTATATAAAACAATATAACATCAAAATCTGACATCTAATGTTAAAATGTAGGTTTTTAATGTAACCTCCCTTTAAATACTTTATATAATTTATGCAGTTTTATATTATTTATTCAAAACAATTAAGAGCAGTTTCATGTCTATCCTTGTAATGTTCAACTGGACGTGGTTGATATGGGATTTAGAAATTAATTATTAATAAGTAATGCAAATACTTTTTAGAGAGAGTAATTTGTACAGTAATCTAATTACAATGTTGAAGACGTAATTAGTAGGTAATAATTAATAATTTTTGTATAACTTGCCCAACACTGTTGATCACATTATACTTGCTATAATACATGTGTTTATTTATTTTTATTTATTCATTTATTTTACACGTGAGTGCTGTTTTCCTGCGTACAGCATTATTTGTAAATTGCCCCCAAAGTAATTATTTGTAGGTGGCTGTTAGTGTGTTGCCATGCAGTTGCTAGGGCATTCTGTGTGGTTGGTAGGGTGTTCTGAGAGGTTGATAGATGGTTGCTAGGGTGTTCTGAGTGGTTGCTAGGAATTTATGAGTGGATTATTGGGTGTTCTGAGTGGTTGCCAGGTTTATCTGAGTGGTTGTTATGTGATCTGTGTGGTTGCCATGGTGTATTGACAGGTTGCAAGGGTTTTTCTGGGTGGTTGCTAGAATGTTCTGGATGATTGCTAGGGTGTTCTAGGTGGTTACTATGGTGTTCTGTGTGGTTGCTTGTTTTTGAGAGACTGACAGAGGATTGCTAGTGTGCTTTAGGCGGTTACTCTGGTGTTCTGGGTGGTTGCTATGATGTTCCATGTGGAGTGCTTGGTTGTTCTGTGTATTTGCTGTTGATAGAAGGTTGCTAGTGTGTTCTGAGAGGTTGATAGATGGTTGCTAGGGTGTTCTGAGTGGTTGCTAGGAAGTTATACGTGGATTAAAGGGTGTTCTGGATGGTTGCCAGGGTTTATCTGAGTGGTTGTAATGTGATCTGAGTGGTTGCCATGGTGTATTGACAGGTTGCAAGGGTTTTTCTGGGTGGTTGCTAGGGTGTTCTATGTGGTTAATATGGTGTTCTGGGTGCTTGCTTGTTTTTGAGAGTTTGGAAGAAGGTTGCTAGGGTGCTTTAGGTGGTTACTATGGAGGTCTGGGTGGTTGCTAGGATGTTATGAGTTTGTTGTTCTGTTTTGTCAATTAGTTTGTAAGCAAGTGCATCAACTTGTAAGCTAACTGGTTACAATAGATTAGATTAACTTTACAGCTTAGCATATGGCTAATTGATTAGCCTGTTAGCTTAACATATAGCGAACTCATTAGCCCACATCACTAGCTGATTAGACTGCTCGATTACCACAGCATTACTTGATTAGCCTGCTAACATAACCCCTGGTACCTTAAACAAACATTATTTTGATTATATATAAAAAAAAATCATAAATTCAGATTAAAATTTAAACCAGCTCAACAAGATGTTATAACTAACTTCTCAGTCCGACTGGCTGGTTTTATGCACTTCATACTAGTCCTTTAACCCTATTTTACATTGCATATTATGTTATGCAAGCTATAAATGGTCAAATGTAACACTTTTGCTGTTCTGTTTTATCAGTTAGTTTGTAAGATAAGCATAAGATAAGTGCATTAACTTGTAAGCTAGCTTGTAAGCATACAGTCAGTAGATTAGCTTTCTAGCTAGTATTGACAGGTTGCAAGGGTTTTTCTGGGTGGTTGCTAGAATGTTCTGGATGATTGCTAGGGTGTTCTAGGTGGTTACTATGGTGTTCTGTGTGGTTGCTTGTTTTTGAGAGACTGACAGAGGATTGCTAGTGTGCTTTAGGCGGTTACTCTGGTGTTCTGGGTGGTTGCTATGATGTTCCATGTGGAGTGCTTGGTTGTTCTGTGTATTTGCTGTTGATAGAAGGTTGCTAGTGTGTTCTGAGAGGTTGATAGATGGTTGCTAGGGTGTTCTGAGTGGTTGCTAGGAAGTTATACGTGGATTAAAGGGTGTTCTGGATGGTTGCCAGGGTTTATCTGAGTGGTTGTAATGTGATCTGAGTGGTTGCCATGGTGTATTGACAGGTTGCAAGGGTTTTTCTGGGTGGTTGCTAGGGTGTTCTATGTGGTTAATATGGTGTTCTGGGTGCTTGCTTGTTTTTGAGAGTTTGGAAGAAGGTTGCTAGGGTGCTTTAGGTGGTTACTATGGAGGTCTGGGTGGTTGCTAGGATGTTCCAAGTGGGGTGCTTGGGTGTTCTGGTTGTTTTCTGTTAATATAAGTTTGCTAGGGTGTTTCGGGTGGTTGCTAGGATGTTCTAGGTGGTTTCCAGGGTGTTCTGTGTAGTTGCTAGGATGTTCTGGATGGTTGCTAGGGTGCTTTATGTGGTTATTATGGTGTTCTGGGTGGTTGCTATGATGTTCCAAGTGGAGTGCTTGGTTGTTCTGTGTATTTGCTGTTGATAGAAGGTTGCTAGGGTGTTCTGAGAGATTGATAGATGGTTGCTAGGGTGTTCTGAGTGGTTGCTAGGAAGTTATAAATGGGTTCTTGGGTGTTATGGATGGTTGCCAGGGTTATAACAGATCACTAACTGATTAGACTGCTCGATTAACATATCATTATACAATTAGCCTGCTAACTGATTACAATTTAAACCAGACCATCACCACGATGTAAAAAAGATAACTTAAAGTCATTAACCTCCCTGAAACCTGCATATTTTATAACACAAGCTAAAAAATAAATTAAAAATTCACATTTAACATTTGCTGTTCTTATCCATTGTTCTTGTTGTATTAACTTTGTAAGATAAGCAAGTGCATCAACTTGTAAGGCAACTGGTTAACGGACTAGCTATGCATATATCCAGTAGATTAGGTTTATAGCTATACAGCTAATTGATTAGCATGTTAACTTAACATATAGCTAACTTATTAGCCTACTAGTTTAGCACATCCTAGCTTAGCTTAGCTAGATTCTTGGGTGTTATGGATGGTTGCCAGGGTTATCTGAGTGGTTGCCATGGTGTATTGACAGGTTGCAATGGCTTTTCTGGGTGGTTGCTAGGGTATTCTAGGTGGTTACTATGGTGTTCTGGGTGGTTGCTTGTTTTTGAGAGATTGGAAGGTTGCTAGGGTGTTCTGAAAGATTGATAGATGGTTGCTAGGGTGCTAGGGTGTCCTGAGAGATTGATAGATGGTTGCTAGGGTGTTCTGAGTGGTTGCTAGGAAGTTATAAGTGGGTTCTTGGGTGTTCTGGATGGTTGCCAGGGTTTATCTGAGTGGTTGTTATGTGAACTGAGTGGTTGCCATGGTGCATTGACAGGTTACAAGGGTTTTTCTGGGTGGTTGCTAGAATGTTCTGGATGGTTGCTAGGGTGTTCTAGCTGGTAACTATGGTGGTCTGGGTGGTTGCTAGGATGTTTCAAGTGGGGTGCTTGGGTGTTCTTGTTGTTTGCTGTTAATAGAAAGTTGCTAGGGTGTTCCGGTTGGTTGCTAGGATGTTCTAAGTGGTTTCCAGGGTGTTCTGGGTAGTTGCTAGGATGTTATGGATGGTTGTTAGGGTGTTCTAGGTGGTTACAGTGGTGTTTTGGGTGGTTGCTTTACTTTATATTTTAATACTTATGGTAAGGTTATTTGAAAAATCCCTAACCCAAAGTCTGAGCAAGTTAAACTCACATAAAGGTAAATGACTGTGTTCATTGTGTGATGAAAAGCAACTCAAGATTAAAAAGCAGATGAATATTGCAGAAGTCTTATGTAAGAAGCCCTCAAATATCTACAGTCATAACAGCGTGACCTTCATACTCTGTCGCCGATGTGTTTGCAGAGTCTATGTAACTAAATGACTCCATTCTCAAATTACAGCGCTTATCCATGGATGCTTTCTGTGCTCTTTTGCATGTAAATGAACTTCTAAATATTTAAAAGTAAAGGTTACCAAGTAGAGAGATCATTGTGGCCTTTAAGAGTCAGTAGCCCCTTTAGAATTTTAGTTAAATGTCACTCCGACAGCCATCTATTCAGAAATGTGGCCTTGATGAATGTGGATTGAGGAAAGTGCTCTCAGTATACAAACACAAACATAAATACATTATAATACACATAATATGAGTCAGAAGGGTTAACTAGAGGCTGCAAAGTGGTTGAGAGGGCTTTTCTGGGTGGTTGCTAGGGTGTTCTGGATGGTTGCTAGGGATGTTCTGGGTGGTTGGTAGGGTGTTCTGGATGGTTGCAAGGTTGTTCTGGATGGTTGCAAGGTTGTTCTGTGTGGTTTCTAGGGTGTTTTGAGAAGTTGGTATGTGGTTTCTGCAGTGTTCTGAGTGGTTGCTAGTAGGATAAATCGAAAATAAAACACACGATTTGGCGGTTAGCTGCGATTTTTTTATGCACAGCTTGTCAGTGAAGTATGGTTGAATTCTGCTGCATCTAAAAGCCAGAGGGCGCTCTCGTGCAGAAACTCCAAATATGCCCCGCAGAAGAAGTACCATAACATGCTTAGTTCCAGGAAATGCCTATGGGCATCTTTCTATCACTGTTCTTCAAGCCTTCTCAGGTATTTTCATGATAAT